ATCTCGGGGTCCTGGGATCGAGCCCCACTTTGGGCTCCTTGCTCAGCAGAGAGTCTGCTTCTCCTTCTGCCTGCCGCTCCCCCTGCTTGTGCTCTCTCTTGCTGACAAATAAATACATAAAATCTTTTAAAAAAAACTGCATAATGACAAAGCTCTCTATCCTCTAAAGGAGGAAGGACCAGTAGAACTGCTTGTTGGCGTTCCCTAGAAAGTTGTCTTTTCAAGAAACCAGGTTGTGCCTCCTCTAAAGCAAAGGGTTTGACAGAGTCCACATGACTAGAACAGCAGAAGCACAGGGGGGAAGGCAGCAGTCCTTGGTGAATGCGGGACCATCCGAGCCCAGAGAGGAATCCGCAGTGACCACGGGACAGGGTGGTAGTGGAAGGCAGAGAGGTTAAAAACACAGAGAAAAATAATCGGGTTTGGCAGGGGAGGGATGCGGAGGAATTCAGCTCGGGAAATATCACATGTTGCATATTAACTAGAAATTCTAGAAATTTATAGAGAAATTGACTGTGCAATTGCAGACTTTTTCTTGGCACATAGAAAGTTGAATTAGCTTAGTGTTCTCTCACTAGGGCTCACACTTTCACAGGGAGGTTTGCAATGGGAGAATGCTGGAAAGTGTCAGGATTCCGTTTATATTCGGTTCAGCAGAAAGTAAACCACATTCGAGTGCCAGCATATTTATTGCAGCGGACGCTCAGTGTTTTTTTGTTGTTGTTGTTGTTGTTTACCTTGTGAATGCTGATCTAGTGTTTTCGTTGGTGGCACGGGTGTGAAGAGAGCCTGGAGCCTGTGTCTGAGGAAGACAGACATAAATGCTCCTTCTGGAGTCCTAGGGTCCCGTCCTCACTGCACTTGCCCTGTTTAACCAGCTGGCGGTGTGATGTGGGGCACGACTTTCGGCTTCCTTGGGCTGCTTCCTTTTCCTTGCCTGTGCAAGAAGGTTGGATGATATCGGAGGTCTTGCCAACACCGAAGTTCCATGAATTTCAAGAAAGAAAAGAGAAAGATGGTCTTCTGGGGGAGGGAGGGGCTCTGAGTTGCACTGTATACAATTTATGCTTAAAACATAGAAACACATACGATGTGATAGAAAGGTCTGCCACCCCACGCTTTATTTTTTTGTGCCGCTCGTTCTGGGGGGAGGCTGTGAACGGCAGCAGACATGATAACAGATTTGAGAAGTCACCCGCCGCCCCCAGTCCTGTCTCTGATGCCATACTCATACCCGCTCAAACTGTCTCCCTCATTGTTCTCCTGGCTTTGAAAGGTGGGTTGCCAGGGTTCCTTTTTTTTTTTCTAGACGCTGAGTTGTTTGTGCTTTCTGTCTGGTCAACCAAGGACATTTTCGTGAATATGATGGGAAGAGAAAAGCCAACAGATTCAGGGGGCGCCTGGGTGGCTCAGTTGGTTAAGCGGCTGCCTTCGGCTCAGGTCATGATCCTGGAGTCCCGGAATCGAGTCCCGCATCGGGCTCCCTGCTCAGCGGGGAGTCTGCTTCTCCCTCTGACCCTCTTCCCTCTCGTGCTCTCTCTCTCTCTCTCAGATAAATAAATAAATAAATAATCTTAAAAAAAAAAAAGCCAACAGATTCAGGGCAAGCCTTACCTGGGTTCCTGGGCTGGCGTTGAACTGAGCAGGTACATGTGTGGCGCTTGCTCTCCTCACCTGTAACCTGGGGATTGTGGCGCCCACCTCCTGGGGTTTCAGTGAGGACTGAGTGAACGTGGGGAAAGCATCGTGCATGCTTCCTGGCATCGAGAGGGTGCTGGACAGCAGTGGGATTTTCCCACCCTTGTCTAGGCCTGAATCATGTGCTTCTTTGCCAATGCCAGGTGTCCCTGGGTGAGAGAGGGTGGGTCTGACTACCTGCTGTCTCCGTGGCAGCATCTGTGAGATGGCTTCTAGAGCACTTTGCCAAGCTCAGGCATTGACTCTCCTGGAATGACTCCCACTCAGCCCGCTTTCTTCCCTGCTCTGCCCGGGACTTCTTCATCCTTGAAGAAGAGCAGAGTGACAAAGAGAAGCAAGTCAAATTGAGGAAGAGGCTCTGGTGCAGGCCATGGTTTTCGGGAGGCCCCTGAAAGAGTTGAGGTGGCTGGAAGAGGCAGAAGAGAGGAGGTCTGGAGAGGCCCTAAAGGGGGAGGAGGGGATCAGCCCTCTTCTTGGGGGCCATGCTGGTATACCCTAGGGACTAGGGAGCATCTTGGAAATACCAGAGCAGGAAGGTTAAGGTGTATTGCAGACATCTCCAGTTCTGTCTCTAAGGTGATACAATCAGATGAAGTAAACAGATGCAGGTATCTTGCTCAGGCAGGCACAAATTTCACGATTGTTATGGTGATTTTGTTGAACGTGCAGCCGATAAGGATGTGGGTAACTGTCAGGCAGTATTTTTCTTGGGGTACGTAATACGCAGTCGATGAAACTAGGCCAGAGAGAGTGTGCGCTCTGGAGATGGTTCTGGGAGGGTAGGGCTTGCAATGTCCTGTTGGCTCTGCTGCTCAACCTCTTTTGCTCTGCCAGTCTCTGTGAAAACTGGGATTGCCACCCACTTTCCCTGGGTGTGGGGACTGTGGAAGGATGTGAGTGATAGAGCCTTGCTCTGAGATGCCTAGATAACCTGGAGCACCTGCATACCGAGGAGGAGAACCTGGTGTTCCAGAGTCATGTGGTCAGAGATAGCTGGTGAAGAAATGCCATAGAAGATGGATCCCGACTTGCCTAACTTATTTAGCCTCACAGTGAAACTCCAGAGCACTTCTAATCATCGGCAGTGCCAGGAGCGGGTGATTGGGGAAGGTGGGGTGCTGAGCCGTGCTCCCCAGAAAAGACAGCCAGGTGCATTCCTGAGCACAAACTGCCTTAGTGCAGCTGAATCTGGACCGGTTCCTCCGTCAGCGGGCCACCAGGCCTGGAGCGTGTGTGGGGATCCTGCCGCCATGTTGGCGGCTATTTTCTGTGATGCTGGAGGCCCCCTCCTCCAGTCTTCCCTTCCCAGGCCTTCACGGTGCAGCTCCACCCTCCCCTGCTGTAGTGGACAGACTGGTTCTTGGTAGCCACCTCGCCACACATCTACCACGAAGGCCCCGTTTTAAGGAAATGTGAGAGACCAGTTCTTATGTTTAGATGTGGCATTTTACACCGTGTAGCTTGGAATTGCCAATGGGTTTAGGGTTTGCAAGGTCATAGTAATTCGGGATCTTTTCCTTCCAAGAGGAGGAGCGTAGTCTCTCCGCATCTCCTGTGATCCTTAGTCTCTGATGATGTTGTCATAGCCTAAAGGGGCCACTGAGAATTTGGGGCGATGACACAAGGAACGCACAAGGATGGTTTCTCAGGTGTAAGCTTCAAACCATCATGAGTTAGTCACATGATAATGTAGGCTACAGACCCATAAGAAATGGATAATGTATTTGTAAAGTGATGTGGATCTGGTCTCTCTTTCAGCCTCCTCCTCGAATCAGTAGTAGGCGCTTGGTTTATAATTCAGGTCAACAATAATGCTCATTGCTCTTTGAGCCCTCACTGTGCATCGGGCAAGGTGTTATTTGCTTCCCATGGTTCTCTTTACATCCTGAGAGCAATTCTATGAGGTAGATAATGTTATTTGCATTTGACAACAGAATAAAATTGCTCAGAGAGGTGACGTAAGTTGCAATTCTGTCAAAGCAGGAAGTGGCGTAGATGGAATATGAACCAGGACCAGTAGACTCCAGAATATTTGTCCATTGCTTTCCACTTGGTGTGCGTTGTGCTGAGTACCGGATAGCCTTGGGACAGTGTCATTGCCACGGAGAATAAAAATCAAATCAAGAAACTTACCGCGGAGTTGAGGATAAGACAGATAGACCACTAAAGATAATTCACGGACAACTGTGATAGGTACCCAGAAAGTCTTACCAGGGAAGTACCAGCGGGGCTAAAGGGGGAAGGTGAGGTACCAGCGGGGCTAAAGGGGGAAGGTGAGATCCTACATAGCTGGTTGGGACAAAGTCTTCATAGAGGCGGTGCCCTTCATAGAGGCAGGGCCTTGCAGGCCTGGTAGAATCTTGCCCAGTGGGGATGGATAAGGGAACAGTTTGTGGGTGGTGATGATTGTCAGATGCTCAGGTAAGTCAGCAAGCCTCTGAAGAGACTATTAGATCGTATATACGCATATCTTTTTTTTTTTTAAGATTTTATTTATTTGACAGAGAGAGACACAGCGAGAGAGGGAACACAAGCAGGGGGAGTGGGAGAGGGAGAAGCAGGCTTCCCGCGGAGCAGGGAGCCCGATGCGGGACTCGATCCCAGGACCCCGGGATCATGACCTGAGCCAAAGGCAGACGCCTAATGACTGAGCCACCCAGGCGCCCCTACGCATATACCTTTCTGTATGGACATGTGTGTATTGTGTACGCCTGGATACAGTCACATTCTTTATAAAGACCTTATACTCTTTTCCAAAAGTGAAAGGCTAATGGTTTTCAGTCGCAACATTGTCCAAACTCTGTTCTCTACTTCTGAGAAGCAGAATACCTCTGAGCAGTAGTTACTATGAATAGACATTCATGTTTATACTGGCCAGGTAGGAATGAAGAGCTTTTTTGATTTTTTTTTTTTCCCCAGGCAGCATCTTTGGTTTGGGGCTGCCCCCTTTTTTTTTTTTTTTTTTTAAGTGTCGGCTCCTGTTTTCTAGCATGTTGAAACGTTAAGACTTCCTGTGTCTGCTTGATTTTGGAAACATCTCCTGTTCGCCTATCACGGGTAATCGCTGTGTTTCTGTGGAGCCCTCGTTTATGGGGAACAAATGGAAACAGCAACCAGTCTCTCCCCATTGTGGATGTGGGGACCTCTCTGGATTCACAATGAAAGGCTACCTAATGCATTCCACTACAGGTGACGAAACCCAGCTCCCAGAATAACAAGCAAGACAACTTTGAAAGTGACTCTTGGTGACCAGTGTCTTTTGTGCGTTCGCTAAACATATGGTGGATTTTTTTTTTTTTAAGGATGGTATAAATTCTTGGGAATTATTCTCGGGGAAGACTGACTCTTCCTGAAGGTGATACATAGAATCCATATCAACAGGGTGGCTGTGTACGTTCCTCCAGGCCGTGTGACGACCAACACACCGTGAAGCTGTCCTCCTGACCGAGGACTGGGGGAAAATGCTGAAACTAGGTGAGTTCGAACGGCCCTCAGACTCACATTCACATGACTCAGGAACATGGCGTTGTTGTCTGCAAGGGAGTAGCATTCAGGCGTGGCTTTAAAGTGTTTGTGTCAAACACATCACTGCTTTTCTTTTTCTGACTGGGTGTGGGGACCTGGTGTTAAGCTGAGGGAGGTACGAATATTGTGGGTGGAAGAAATGGCATCTGAAGTTTGCATGGAGGTTGTGACTCTCTGTAAACAAATGAAGGATCAAAGTGCTTCAGAAATGGGACTCTGACAAGATTGGAGAGCTGTTTCCCTTAAAGTTTCTCCTTTTTACATTTTCCATGTGTTTGTTAACTGTAAGATGTCTCTGGGTCCCAGTGCGTCGGCAGTGACCTGCAAACATGGGGGTGTTTATTTCTGTTCTCTTGCTGTGTAGATGTTGCTCAGAATACTATTCTCCCTAACAGCCAATAAGCAATTTCACTCAACAGATACATGGACTTTTGTACTTTTAAAACACGTCTGGGGCTTGTTTTCAGCCATAGTTCAAGCTTCTACAAGTAGACTTAATTTTATTTTTGAGATAAATTGGAAAACTTTTTGAGCATGGAAATAGAACAATTTAAATAGCCCTTAAAGTTATATAGGGATTTGCATGCTTGTTCAAGTCTATGCCGAATATTTGTTGAAGTTCCTCTAAAATTTGTCTGCTCTAAAGACTTTCTGGAGCTTCAGCTGAATACGAGGAGGGGATTAGAAATTGGAAGACATAGCCAGGCATCAGTTTATATCTAGTTTCTTGGCCCATTAATTGAACCTTGGCAGCCAATGCAATTTCCTAGAGCCGTGACTTCTTTTTCTGTGTGGAAAGTGGTCACCTGCACATCATTTATGTTAAATGTACATTTGCGCACCAGCTGCCCAGAGCTGTGCGTGTGATTCTCCGTCTGCTTTCTTTATATATATATCTAGGCACATTCTATCAAATATATGAAAATGGTTATAAGTCTGTGACTGTATCTCACGGCGTATATGCTTTTGGGATCAGAGCCAGGTTTGGTTGGGAAGGTTTCCTGGAAGACGTGAGTTTTTTGTGTGTGGGGGGGGGGGTTGTTTCAAAGGGACGTAAGTATCACAGTTTGGCAGAAGGAAGAAGCATAGGTAAAGCTCCCAAGGCCGGGGTGATTAAGTCAGATGTATTCAGTGAGTAAGCGTGAACCGTATAAGAGCAGTTTGTAAATTAGTGGTTGAAAATCGCCAGGCTACCAGGGAAGAAGAGGCGAGGGCTGTGTGTGAAGGAGGAGGAGAGGCTTGTGGGAGCTGCCTCTGTGTGTTGCTAGTAAATTTCACGCCTGGATACCCCTGTGCGCTGACCATGTTGCCATCTAGTGGAGCCCGCCGAAATGCACCTGCTACCTCTTTTCGCTTCAGGTTAAATAATGTGGTATCTCAGCAGTAGGGAAGCTCTTTTTTTCCCTAGGAATTCTAAATAAGGAGTTAGAGGAGATGGATGCAACTGGGCGTCCCCCAAATGATATTAATTTGACTCTAGGAAATAGAGCTGAACCCCAATAGAAAGCATTTCTCCTAGACAATGCTTGGAGGTCGTGGAGTCCATTGTGGTACAGTGGTGGCAGAGGGGAGTCCTCCCACCAGAGGCACCACAGCGCAGAGACCTCAGGGCTGGAAGACACTGTAGAAGGCCGTACCCCCCCATCCTCCGTTGCATCCATCCATGCCTGCATCCATTCAGCAGAACTTCCTGAGTTCCTGTTACCTGTCAGTCTCTCTTCCAGGTACTGGGGATACACCAGTGAGGAGAGCAGTTAGAGATCCCGGCTCATGAGAAAAAAATAAAGAAATAAAATAGAGAAATCAAGAAATCCCTGCCCTTGGAGCACAGACATTCTAGTGGGAAAGATGGACAATAAACAAAGAAGTAAAATATATAGTAGGAGGGATTCTGCTAAGGAGAAAAAAAATTTTTTTAGATTTTCAATCTTTGTGTCCTCGCTGAGATTGTGATATTAGTCTCTCCTAAAGGTTTGAGGAAGCCAGACATGTGAAGATCCTGGGGAGGAGAATTCCAGGCAGAGGAGAAGCAGATACAAAGGCCCTGAGGTGGGAATGGTCCTCGTGTGTTCCCAAAACCTCAAGGGGGATGATCAGAGGAAGGATGAGCCAGAGAGATGGGAAGGGGCCAGATCAGCTTGGGCCATGGGGATGGTTAAAACGAATTTGACATTTCCTGGACATGAGAGGAGAAGCCATTCCATCTAGCCTAATGTCTTTGACAAATGAAACTTAGGACAACGAAATCAGGTCAGGTGTCCGTGGTTAATCAACATCATTGTGCTGGAGCTGGGATGAGAACGTGCCTTCTAACCCAGCGTTCTTCCTGCCAGCCTAGCCTGCCCCGGTGGGGATGCAAGACCCTCTGGAGGCTCAGGCTTCCAAGTGCAGCGGTCCCGAATTAGCCCAGTGCTGTGGGATCCTCCCAACAGCTTCGTGTCAGCACAGTTCATTCTGGTCCTTCCCTCAGGATGACCACGGCACACAGAACAGAGCAGACCTCTTACCTCTCAGGGCTCCTCTGCCAAATACTGCCTTCCTTCATTTTGGAGATGAATCCTTTGGGTTTTGCCAGTGGTGAGACCCCTCAACCTCCAATGTCATGAAGGCTCCCTACGTTCATTGTGCAGTTACTTGGATATGGTGAATGTAAGATTTTTCCGTCTTACAGGGGTGGATCACAGTTCTCATCGTGAGAGGTAGTAAGATTGAATAGTGAAAGTTGTTTAAAATGAATTTGAAAATCGGAGTGCCTGGAGTGGCTCAGTTGGTTAAGCATCCGACTCTTGATTTTGGCTCAGGGCATGATCTGAGGATCATGCAATCAAGCCCCGCATCGGGCTCCATGCTCACCGGGGGTCAGCTTGGGATTCTCTCTCCCTCTTTCTCTCTCTCAAATAAATATCTTTAAAAAAAGAAAAAAGAATTTGAAAATAGAATCACCAGGTGAGCTGCTGGTTGTCACCAAATGCAGCTGGGCCTGGATGGTTTTGCCCAACATTCTTGTCTTCTTTCTTTACTGTGAGCCTGTTCAAGCACCGCCCTCCCCCACCTGCTTTAGATCTTATGACCCGTTGTCCTCTGGATGTGAGCCAAATCCTCTAATCTCACTTTCTGATGCAGGTCAGACTAGTGCTCAGTATAGAGGAGAACCCGCACGGTCTCCTCTCCGTCATCCGCCACAGCCTGGATCCTGTATACGGAGTAACAGGAGGTCCTGGCACCAGCTCGGTCCCATCCTGTGGAGGAGACTAACTCATAACTCACTCTCTTGCTCCTTTCTTCCCTTTCTTCCAAACCAAAGCTCTCAGGATAGGTAATGTGAGGTTTACATCATCTTATTTGGCACGTACATTTGTTTGTATAGTACTCTCTCTCTCTTCTTTTTTTATTTATTTTTTGCCAACCAAGGTAATTTCATATGTCCATTTGCCTATTTTTTTTTTTTTAAATGAGCTCTGAAATCCCACGACCTCAGACTATCAGGATCAGCCCTGATTTGCATCCTTGGGAATCCATAGTCCCTTCAGTAGCTAAGCTCTTTGTTTATCTCTAGAGGCTGAGGGCACAATTCCCTGGGATCCTTTGGTTTGGGTCTTTAGGAGAGTGGGTGCTCCTGGGAGTACTTTTACTTTTTCCTGCCTTCAAATCTTGCTGTTTTCGCAAGGAAGGCAGCCACCCCTTGTGGCAAGGATGTTCCCCTGTCGGGTCCATCAGGAGGCTCCATCAGGGATGGTGGGGCAGCGCCATACTGGGAGTGGAGGACCCACGTCCTGTCCGTCAGCCTCTCTTCTCTGTCTGTGTCACTGAGGTTGCTCAGCATCCCCCGCTCTTGAGTCCCTGTGCTTGGCTACCTACCCCTGCCATCAGACAGGCAAGACTTGGCTGTGCAGGAGAGGGGGTTTCCAGGCTGTCCTCTGACTTTGTTAGGCAGCCAGCTTGAGGAAATGGGGGAGAAACTATTGATCATTTGTGTATCCCAGGGATCCTTTGCGCACTGTCCTTTAGGGGCTGGGCATGTGGTAGAGCCGGCAGCAAGATTAGAAGTCCTCCAGCATGCTCCTCATTCGCTGTCCAGAATGGTCTGTCAGTTACGGCTCTTATTATGCAAGAAAGAGAAACCCCAGTTTGGATTGGCTCATACAAAAGAAAATTTTTTATTAGCTTGCATAACTGGAACGAGATTTGGCTTAGCCTCTCAGTGATGTCAGGAACCCATCTTCTTTCTAATCTGCCCTCTGTGGTTGAGTTTCATCCTCAGCTAGCTTCTCTCATGGTGGTTAAATGTCTGCAGCAATTCTGACTGCATATGCACAATGCACTGTCCAGGAGGAGAGAGAGAACTGGCTTCTGGCAGCTCTATCAGAGGTGAGAGTGACCTTTTCCAGAAACCCCCAGCAAATTTCTCATGTCTCAGTGCCCAATCTTAAGCCAGTTTATTGGCTGTAGAATGGGGTCATAAGTGGCATAGGTTTGCGTCGTCTAAACCAGTCACTTGGGACGCCTGGGTGGCTCAGTCAGTTAAGCGTCTGCCTTAGGCTCAGGTTGTGATCCTGGAGTCCTGGGATCAAGCCCCTCAAGGTCCTGGGATCGAGTCCCACATCAGGCTCCTTGCTCAGTGTGGAGCCTGCTTCTCCCTCTGCCTGCCGCTTCCCCTGCTTACGTTCTCTCTTTCTCTTTGACAAATAAATACATAAAATCTTAAAAAAAAAACAAAAACAAACAGTCACTCTATGGCAAGGGGGCTAGGATTACCGTGACTGAGTTGAAATGGTCAAGGTAAACCTGGGAGCTAGGGATGGGCTCAGTCTCCCTCAAACAGCACGCTGCTCCTCAAGGAGAGGGGATAGAAGTGATGAGTGGACCACGGTTGTCTACCGAACAGACTTCCTTTCACCGTGGTTTTTTCTGTTTTGTTCTTTTCTCCTATTGCTTCGTACTTGGTGACT